ATTTTGTAATTATATTTATTTTTTCAAAATAGTAGAATATAGTTCGGAGAAGGGTGAATAAACTAATTAATTTCATGAATTTAGATTTTTAAATTTTTTTGCGAATTTTATTCATTAATTTTATTTTTTTTTTAAATTCAAGAACAAAATGATTCCTCGTGCACCACTTAAAAAGCACAACACGAGGTTTACAGACGTAAGTATGGTAGCAAACAATGCAGGATATTTAAACAGAATTGCATACTCATGTAAAATTTAGAAACGAAAAATAATTATAATAAAATAAATAAAAACATTTACAAAAAGGATGAGAAAAATGAAAAATTTAAAATAGTACGTAAAACAAAGTGATTTATAAATTTGCATTAAAAACTGAATCAATGAATTCGCAGAAAAGTTTGAAGGTGGTTTTGCTTCCCACAAAAGTGCGAAGAGAGGGAGGAAAGTTAATAATGAGCGACTTTAAGGCAATTATTAAGATTTTTCTATTTTTCTCAAACTGTGAGCATTTTACAATAAAATGCTCAACGTCTTGTGTTCCTCCAATATTGCAATCACACAGATCACTGCAACTTAAGCCAAATCTTTTTAAATATGCCTTGAAGTTGCCGTGTCCAGTGAGAAATTGCGTCACATGAAAGTTGCAGAAAAAATGTTGGTTTTCAAGTCTTTCATTAACAGATGGATTTTATTTGGCTAGTTTACTTCCTAGTAAACTTTGTTTATTAATTTTACTTGGCTAGTTTACTTCATAGTAAAATTCATCAAAATAAATGGAAAATATTTAGGAAAGAAACAAAATATTTTTGAAGTAAGAATTATTTAACGTTGAAATAAGTTTATGTCCGTAGAAAGTATGTGTATGAACTGGACTCCCCCCCCCTCAAATATCCTCCTTCACAAATTTCTTCTGAGAACTGGTTGCAAATTTAAAAAGTTCACACGCACTTCCTTTGTTCATTTTGTGCGTGAACACCAATTAGCTTCGTTATCAGTTCTTAGTCAAATTCTTAAAATGTTTCGATATTCATTAAATCAATTAGGTGTTTTGAAGAGCTACATATTTTATCATGAGTAGATATTTTTAAAGTATTATTATTATTATCAACATTTAAACGAAGTGGGGTTTATTCATTAAGTCTATTGTTTGGTTCTAAAACACAAAATAACGTGAATTTCAGGTTCACCTGTAGTCACCTACCACTAATCAAAAATAATTAATATAATAATAAAAAAGAGAATAGGTACTTAGGTATTTTATAAATTAATTTCAAGGCTATTCATAAAGTTAAAACATTAAGTTCTATAATTCGTAAAATAAAGTAAACCATTCATAAAGTTTTATGTAAAAATCCATTTAAGAGAGGATTAATCAGGGAGGAAGGGATTATCTGCAATGCTTAATATTCTCTTATCAAGAGATTAAAAGTATCTCTTTTGACTGGCGTATGATTTTATTTTCATTGATTTTATGATGATTTGTTATATAAATTAATGAGAACTATAAATGTATAAGAAATTAATTTCATAAATTACAATATTTATTGAAATGCTATTTAATTAATTATTTTCTACGTTTACTATCTACCGTATATTCCGGCGTATAACGCGCACTTTTAATACAAAAAATAACATTGGAATTTACGGNTTATATTGTTTTGCAATAGTATTGACACAACTACACTAAGAGGATTGTTAACGCACATATTTCTTCAATACACCAATAAGCTTTCTTGTTTTGTGCCGTTTCATTTTTTTTTTCTTTCTTTCTTTTTTTTATCTTTTATTATTTTGTTCTTTTTTCTTTTTGTAGCTTTTTAAGTCATGAATTGCAATACTTCACTTTCTAAAACCCTCGTAAGCTTACAGAATTAACATTTATAATATATAATTATAGCTAAAAGAGGAAAAAAATATCTGTTTGTGAAAGATTGTTTTTATCTGCCTCATGAAGAAAATCCTCATACGAAGGATTTTTCCTACTGAAGAGATAATATATTCTCTAATTAAACGTTAATTAAAACTATCAATTAAGGAGACAAAAACAATTAATTCTAATAATTTTTTTCACGCATTAGATTTCTCTCTTCTTAGTCTTCAGTTCAAACAAAAAAAAAAAATTTCATGAAAGGATTTTCTGGATATCTGAATACTTATATCTGAAGGATTTTTTATTCAATCTGCTAAGAGAACGTATTTCTTTTAGTTTCATAATTGTGTAAAGTATGCAATTTAAAAAAAGTTAACAAAATTGCTAATATATATATATATATATATATTTATATATATATATATATAGAGAGAGAGAGAGAGAGAGATTTAATTAGTACAACAGTTTGTCTCTGAATTTTATCTGAATCCTCAAAGCAGTATTTAATATTAAGTAGATTAAAAAGCGAAGGAGAACATTGCCTATAACGGAAATAGACGATAGTGATCCTTNTATATATATATATATATATATATATATATATATATATATACATACAATTTTTTATTTATTTATTTACTTTTTTGAGAGAGAAAAAGTTAACTTAAAACTTAAAAGTGCAGAAATACTTTGATTTTGGAATTTTTGACGGCAATGAATATTTTTTAAAAATTCCGATACCTGAAAGTTTTTTTTTTCGTGAAGCTGATTAATTTTTGCTTGCAATGGATTTAATTTAACTGATTTAATTGATTCTTAAATTTCGGACAGGGAAAAAATCAATGATTGAGATTACAATCCCCATTCTAAAAATAACTACAGTCAGACCCCGCTATAGTGAACCTTCAAGGGACCGAAATTTCTGTTCACTGTAACCGGGAGTTCACTATATCCGTTACGCAGGCAATTTAACTAATGGTTCCCAAACTCCTTCCTTTTATTACACATTGTTCAAATAAATGACTGAAAAATATTACATAGTAGCAAAAAATGTGTTATTTTCCATTACTCTTTGTCTTGCGTACAAAAAAAAAATAGTAATCTTTAGCTAATGAGCAATCCTCAACATTAGATATGGAAAAAACTTTCCGACTCTCAGATAATTTTCCTGAATTTCTGTTATTCTGCTTTTTAAATCTGTCTAACCTGCCATTCGAGCACATAAAAGTAGTCTCATAAAATCGCTTAGCAAATTCATCGACATTTGTGTTGTCCAGATACTTCGATTGGTGAACCACTTCAGTAATGCTTCTTCAACATCCTTGTGATCTGCTTTTCTCAACTTTTTTCTGCCATCTAATTTTTTTTTCATGAGCAGAAACTATTAATTGCCTATTTTTCCATATGTTACAAACTGCAGATTTGGATAGTTTATATTCCCTGCAAATATCAGCTTGATTGCGAATTGAAATGAGGGCCTTATCAACACATATTAGTTTCCAACTCTTTGACCAATAATGAATAATTGCTCATTACCTCTGACATAAAATGCATATTGATCTGACTGACATCGTCTGCCTGGGTTGGAAACATCTGCTTTGTTTTTTTAGGGATGGGAAAGTGAGATAAAAGAAGCAAACAAGAAAAAATGCTTATCGCTACATTCCCCTCTATAGATGGTTTTGAAAATCGGTATATGTATTTTTTTTGAAGTAGAAATTTCAAAATTATTGCAAAAAAATCAGTTGAAGACAGAAAAAAGTTCATTATATCCAACTTCCTAACTTTTTTGGTTCACTATATCCATAAAAAATAACATTATCCGCGTATAGCAAGTCACGGGACCGAACATTTCGTTGACTATATCCGGGAGTTCACTATAAGCCCTGTTCACTATAGCAGGGATTGACTGTATTATAACCATAAAATAGCACGTTTTTATGATTAAAATATCACTCGTTTTTTTATGGTTTTCGTTTTTCTATCATGAGTGTTAAATTTGAAATATGTCGTGTAAAAGTAACACACGTAACAATAGAGTTGCCCTATTATTTTTTATATATTGATTGTATGTTAAGATTGTAATTTTTATTCTTCTCATTTTAATTATGCTTCTAGCATAAGGAAAGTTTTGCAAACAGATAATTTTTTTCCTAAAATTTTAATTGGTGATTGCATTTTTTCGGGAGTGAAGATGTAACATAAAAAGCTTGAATTAATCTTTTCATGCTATTTCTTTTCTGTAAACTTTTTCTTATACCTTAAAACGAAATATTTTACGGATTTATTTTGTAAATTTCTAGCTAACTTTTGTTGAGGAGGAGCACCTCGACTTTTTGTCACTTGAATATATATATATATATATATACAACTTTTA